GGGATCAGAAGTACCAGCAGTGATGAGATACTGATGTAGTAAGTGGGGGAGGTACGATAATAATGTGTCCTGCCGTTTGTGGCCTGTCGGATTTTAAGCAGCTTAATACAGTAAGTTATAAACACGGGGCATCCTGTGCAGCCCTGAGATGGAGGGTTCATTCTTCCCGCCAAAAGCATTCATGTTGTGGCCCTTAGGTCAAAAGCTGGGGGACACTAGGCCTACATCCTAGACCCCAAGTTTGTTCTGGGACGTATTACCTGGACACCCCCTATTGTAGGGTTATGCTAGCAAACCTTCAGACTGATCCTCTCTGTTTTTGGTGCGGCATTCCCTGGCATTCCGATTTTCTCCAGTGGTTTCTACCATGTTTTGCAGGTGCCTTTGTGTCTCACCATCCGGCTGCTTGTTCAAATCTGTCACAGGACGGTATAGGTCCCTCCAAGATCTTTACGGCCAAAATGCTGCCGTATCTGGTTTCAGACAGCAGAGCTTTTAACCCGTCTCCAAATTAACCGACACAGTGATAGCAGTGGTGGTGTTTGGTTTGACAGCTTGTCTGTTTTGTGTCTTTCTGCTGTCAGTCTGCAGTTTTTTTTTTTTCGTTCTAAACAGTGCACCTCAAGGCAATCACAAAAGAATTTTCTAGAAATGTGTGGTAAATGCTAGTGATTTATTTATTTCATTCATTTGGTTGGAGGGAACTGAACACAAATGGAATTTCACCCAAGCATGCATGCAGGGAGATTTATTCTGCTGACAACAGCAACATGGAAGTCGCAGGTTTCCATTTTGTAATGACTTCTTTTGAAGAAATGAGTGATATTCCTTTCGTTAAATGCTGGTTAACGTAGCCTCACAGTCTGCACACAGCAGTCAGATGGAACAGATGTGTCTATTGCTCAAACTCGCCGTTCGGTGCTGCTTTCCGGGCCTTAATAGCGCTGACCTTAGTAACAATTTTATTTTGGAAAACTTGACGACGGCAGCAGTCCAAGCTGAGACTGAAACTGTTTCAAAATGAAGGTCAGTAGATTTGGAGATGGGTGGTCCTCCATACCTTGAGTTCACAAAATAACGTTTAACTGGGCAACCTGCAGACAGTAAAATAAGCTAGCATAGCAGTAGTCTGTGTGTGCGTCTGTGTTTGTGATTGTGTGTTATTCTGTGGGCATTTAAATTTTATGTGCTGCACTATTGCACCGGTTAGCTGGCGAAATTAAATTTTGTTTTACTGTGAAATAGTGATGTAGATCAATGAATCTTATATCACATAAACAAATCATATTAAAAACATTGTAACATAATCAATTCTCTGTGGTCTTAAAAGCAAAGCATCTGTCTTAACCTTTCTTTTTTAATGAAATCACCAGCTCATTTTATGAGTCATGTAACAAATCCTGTTTTGTCTTCCCAGATGAATGAATATGTAAAATCAAAAGTGCATGACTAAATGTTAGTTTAAATCATTCTTAGGTTTTTATTGCTAGAAATGTCAGTGAATTTCACATTTTCAGTTTACCATTAAAATGCAGTTAGTTATCTTGATAGTTAAGCGGCTGTGGTGTGATTGAGTCGTTTGGTACACAATGCACTTGCTGAATTTTGCATTCTTAAGAAAAAAATATTTGTTATTTTTTGTGGCATATTTAATATTATCAAAAGGTTCCTTTCTGTATTCATTCGCTGTGTTATTCTCATCTTTTGTCATTTTTTGGCCAGCACAAATTTAGCTTATCAGCGAGGCAGTTTTATCCATATATTTTTCGAATGTATTTTATTTTGAAGCAAAGTTTGTTCCCTTTATTGATTTTAGCGGTTGATTGGCCCTTTACATGATAAATGGTTGTGCATTCATGAGCTGGAATGGATCAGGGTGTGTCCTGTTGTTGCTTTTAAATGTAATTATATTAAACCATTGGTGGTGGGGGGGGGGGGGCTGGAGGGTTTTGCATGTGACTGGAAACCATTTGTGCCTTTTTCCTGGTAAGGCAAACATGAAGCACCTTCCTTGGTGTGAAGCATCACGAGCCAAAACAAAGCAAGTCATCCAGTCATCAGCTTCCTCTTGTGTGGATGACATAAAAAAATTAGCATATAGTACCTATAGCAACCGGCAACAAATATAATAGCCCTTCATAATGTTTGTACAGGAGTCACATCGCCAGTATTGGTTGGAAGTGTCAGTCTAGCTGAAACAAGAAAAGCAATTAAGGCCGGAATGACGCATTAAAATTCATCTTTATGTCCAGTAGAAGTGGTTTCTAAATCAAGCCTTAAGCATATTTATTTATTTTATAATTCTGAGTAACATTTTGGACCTAGACACAACATCTGATGTTGTGTTAATCATTCATATCATCTATGTGCTAACCCTTGATTTCAGCTAATACGTTCTATAACATATGCAAGTGTAGGGGGTTTGAGGTTATACTTTAGCTCTTCAAACAGAAGGATTGGCGGACTTTTACCAGAAATGTTCAGGATGTGATTGTTCATACTGTATTCACCAGTAGGTGACAAACATAAAAACACACCGTTAATATCGCCCAAAGAGAAACCTGAGCGTGATGTAAGACCGTTTCCTTACTATTTTTGGTTTTGCTGTGTAAGAAAAAGATATTCTCTCTGCCCTAATGTATTCTTCGGTTGTCCCTTATCTCCACTTTCCACCGATATCTTATTTGTGGGGAAAAACTGATTCTTTAGGTTACCTGGCATGAGCTATCTCGCTCGTCCGTTTCCGTTGTTTGTGAAGAAACATAGTCAACTCAGATTAAAGGGTAAGGATTGTACCCTGAGGCTGTTGCTATGGAAATAGCCCGGCTCCAGCAATGATAGCCCATTCATGTTTGATTAATTGGTTTTTCAGTGTTCTTGGCTCTGTGAAGCCCCTTAAAGGGCAACTGGGGGGGGAGAAAAAAAAAACAGGAAATGAATGGAATGTTTTTAAAGCTCTTCAGTCTGTTTGAAAATTGAAGGATGGCATTTAAAATTACTATTTTAAGACAGGAGTTTTATTTTCGAGGGGTGTGCTCCATGGTTACACCTGCGGGGGGGGGGGGGGGGGGCTTTGTTCCAGCAGGGTCTGCTCACCAGCCCAAGGTGCAACGGGAAAGGTGGTGTCCTGTAAACGTCCTCGGCCTAATCACGGCGTTCTGTTTCCTTAAGACTGCTCTGCGTCTGATTCCAGCGACCCACTGGGACCAATTAGAAGAGCCGCGCTTCTTTAGTGCTGTTTATTAAGCTCTGAACTGGGGGGGGCCCTCTCCAGCTTCATCTTGTTAGCGCACCGCTAATCTAATTAGTTTTTACTTATGAATGCTGGACTCGATTAGCAAATGCCGGAACGCAACTTCGCGATTTGTGCTGATTTGTTACATCCTCGGTGTGTCTCCTCACGACGTGATAAGTTCTCTGTTGTTTGTGTTTGTTTTGCTTTTTTCGTTTTGGCATTTGTGTACTCTTAGGTTAATTTTTGTTTACCTAGGCGTGTATATAAACAGTTTGCCTGTCTATTTTTTCTGAGACTTTTAAGAACAGACATGAACTTCAGCTAATGAAGTTTTTGATTCGAGTGGCCATGGTAAAAGTGGGAGGCTTGTTTTTCCCATTGAGCTGTTAATCCACGCTATGGGAATGTACAGCTGCCGCTAATTATGTTACTTAGTTAATAATTACAGATGATGTTGCAGTGATGTTTGGAGGTTATCCAGTGAGCTCTTAGGTATTATTCCTATTGTCTGATCTTCATTATTTTGTTGTTATAGGGCCTGCTACTATAGGTGCTACTGAAGACAGCCTTAATGCTCGTATTGAATCTCACAGACAAAACGCGATGGCTGCCCTTCTGAGTAGCTGGCTCCTGGTTCCCGTTGTAAATCTGTCAGCAAAGCTTTAAAATGGCTAACTGGATGGTACGAGCAGAAGGGGCATGGAAGTTCACCCCGCCAAAGATTTGTGGACAGCCTATGTTCAGTCACGGCTTCGCCAAAGGTTTTTACAGACCCTTGGACAGGGAGTGGTTTCCACCAATGTGACGTGATGGAACAATGGGGACTGTCAGTCAGTTACAAGGCTGGATTATGATCTTTGCCTGTATTTTGAACAGGGAAGTATACAGGGGCGGGGCCACATGGGCAATGGCCCAAGCTTAAAACTGATTGGCTCTCAGAGTGACCTCCCCCCATCACTAGCCCATATATCATTGGCTGATGTTAAAGTTGGCCTCTCTGTATGAATTATGGCCCTTCTTATGCCCCCTGCCTTCCGAGAGTCCTAGATTCAAACATGGTTTTTACTACTTTCTTGCCGTGCACTAGACTGCTGTTTGTGCATAACTGCCTTCAGAGGGTGGATTTTCACAGCATAGCACAAAGTGGGGACTCTGCACATGCCCGCGAGCCCTGGAATGAACAGAGCACTTACCCAAAATGCCCTTAGAATACAATCCATGACATGAAATCTGACTCTGAAGCAGCTCCAAGTGCGAAGAGAGACCTCTTGATGGGAGGCACACAACTAGCCTCAAATGGAGAACCTTGAGATGAAGTAACTCTATTCTTAAGGTCTGTTAAGGACAAGAGGAAACCATCTCTCAATATATTTCAATGATGTACATGAGACCAAGCAGCTGGGTAATTAAGTGAATCCAGAAACTTGTTTTATAGTGACAGAAGCATCCAAGTGAGCCTTAGCTAGTCATCAACGTCGAATTCTTATGGCCTATTGGGCTGTGCTTTGTGGCTCTGGGGAGCAGAACTGAGAAGAGGCCCGTCTGCTTTTCATCCCGGGGGGGGGGGGGGGGGGGACAGCCAAATTAGCCTTAGCGGTTCAGTGGAACAGGTGCGGCTGTACGGGCAGCTACCTTAAACCTCCTGGTGCCATCGGTGAGGGAAAGAGGCATCTCTAAGGGCAGCCGTGCAGCATGTCGGGCTCTAGCGAAGCACTTGGGTACGCAAAACTAGTAAAGCTCACCTTCTTTTCTCACCCATATCCAGGAGATGACTCGCCCAGATGGCTCTCATTATGACGCCGCCCATCAGACCCCACTGATAAACAGGCCTAGGATACTGTCCCATCATATGGGTGCTCTGTCCCAGCTGAACTCTCAGGTTGGCCTGCGAAGTGCCCTTACCCATGGTTCCCCCTCACCTCCCGGGAGTAAATCAGCCACGCCCTCCCCCTCAAGCTCCGCCCAGGAAGAGGAAGCTGATTCCCATTCCAAGGTACTGATGTGGAACAGTTTTTCTTTACTAAAAAAAAAAGAAGAAAAAAAATGGGAGGCTGGTGACAGGGAGCAGGATATAGCATGTATATTTGTGACACTATATCCTTTTATGGCTGCAGGTCCGAATTGTAGAAATTGGAGGGTGGTGGGGGGGGGTGGGTGAAGAAGGTCAATTTAAGAGTTCTGGAAAAATCGAACATGGAAAAGCATCTGCAGAATTTTGTGAAATATATTAAAGGCTGGCTCACGTTTCCCTAAAGTGCTGTAGCTGCTCTGCGGGCTGAGCACTGGGTCTCGACCACTTACCCACTGGCAAATTCTTAGTCCTACTGCAGCCACAGAAGTACAATTCAATATGCATATGCTGGCAGTGGTTATTCAGTGCGTGTTCTGCCAAGCTCTTTGCTCACGCGGCGTATAAACACAAAATTGAAAGTAGCAGAACCTTCTAGCAGATGAGATCTAAAAAGAGATGCTCGATTTAATTTAAATTCAAAATTGATTTTCCTCACGTATATTCCCCCTCTTTGCCCCTCCCCAAAACGAAGTGGGTCTACTTGCAACAGTAGCGGTAGCTGTGCGGCCATCATTACAGAGATGCCTCCTCCTAGTGTAAATTTAATTACAATGGTAAGAATGAGGCCCTGGTTCTACTGTATATCAGCATCGTCATGGAAACGATTTGCGTGGCTTTGCTGCAAACATGATCTAAGGAGTAAGGGGTACTCTTGTCATTTACCTGGGCAGGTTGTTAATTTTAAAAAGTTCACCTTTTCTTACTTTGAAATTAAAGCATAGAAATGGATGAATGGGTGAATGTATACAGTCTTCAGCAACCCTGGCGGCCGAGTGTCTCGAGATATACTGCAAAGACGTCAGCCTGCTTTCGGTCCTCGTGGTTTTCTTATGGAATGCATTAAATCTGTCTACATTTGCCGAAAAACCCAAACCGCACAGGATCTGGCCCGGTCTGCTCAGTTCTGGCTACGACACGCCTCAAACACAGAAAAAGTGATGCGACATTATGGCCATGTAATCCGTAATTCTTGGCTGTATCTTAAAGGCGTGCAGTTTAACAACACCTCAGGTGCCGTAAAGGAACAGGGCAGGATTTATTGCTGTCATTTTCAATTCCCTTCTTGTTTTAAACATCTATTTAATAGTTATTTGGAGAGTCAGCTGGACCTGATACTTTCATACATGTCATACATTTCTTACGTCGTTGTAATTTGCAGTCTTTACTGTTTGTGGTCTTCTTTCAAGGCATTGGAGGTGTGTTTATTTACCGGCCAGTGGGATATGATGTTTCAAACAAACATGGAGGGTGAAAATAGCATTTAGAACGAAATAGCTAATTGCATAAAATTCCCTGGTAAGTCAATATGAAACGAAACGGTATCTACTGCCTCTAGCAAAGCTAGTTTTAAAGATTTTATTGGCGTATTATTATTCAGTTGTATTACGCTGCTTTAAAATCCACCCGTCTCCTTATCCTGGTCAGCATCACAGGGAAGCCTGGAGCCTTTTCCTAGGTAGCACAGGCCAGAGGTACAACACAAACGGGATGCCAGCCCAGAATCAGACACTGTGGGTAATTTAGAGATGCCAAACTGCATGTCTTTGGACGGCAGGAGGGACGCTGCAGGACAGAGGGAGAACATGTGGGATCTGTAAACCCTAACCCTGGGAGTGTGAGGTCACAGTACTACTCATTAGTTAGTAATGATCTCCTTAATTGTGATGAGTAAGTCATTATAGAGTTGTATTTAGCAGGAGAAGTACCTTCTTGTAGACAATGTCCTTCCAGTCTCGGTTTTGCATTTCTCTATCATTACATAAATACTTCAATATAATAGTCAATAGTCACTTGGGTGTTCTGAGGACAGATATTACTGATGGTGAAATTCTGCCCTAGAGACACTCACAGCGGCTTGTGTTCCTGTCAGCAGACCGGATGCCAGGGTTTGATACGAGAATTTTCTGTTAATCTCATATGTAGATGATAGAGTGCATATTTGGAGGCTAAATTGTATAAGTACTTTTTAATTAGCTTAATGGAAAGTAAATTACTTTGTTTATATTCTGCATGCAGTGAACAATACATCCACCTACATAATTTCATAAAGTTACAGAAAAGGCATGTAATGCTTGTATATCAATACTGCCCACATTTCATTTTCATTTCAATTATATGTGTCAGTGGCTTTCTCTGTATTTTAAAACAAGTCAATCAATTAGAAGCCCCAGTTTGCCATTTTTCACCCAACTGCGTTCCAGAGAGAATCCAATAAGATGGAGTAGTCTTGTCTGTTCTGACTTGAAGTTTGTCCATCATGTTTACGACGAGATGTCATCACTGGGGAAATACGACCAAACAGTAGCTCCTTCAGTCTTGAATCTTCTCCTGGTGGCAATGTGTGCAGTCAGTCAACTGTGCCTTTTCTTCAGTCTGTCCTTCATATAGAGCAGAAATGATGTTGGTTACTTTGTGAGATTGTTGTGCCAGATTTGATTTTTTTTATTATTATTTTTTTTTTTACCATGTACTCATTTAGTGGCACGTTGCATAATATGCTTTGGTCTGAAGATGACTCCATACTGAATTTCCAGCCTTGGTAGATTTTTTCAGGCTGTTGTTTAAGTACCTGCAATGCAGTGAGATTTTTTTTTTTTTACATTTAACTGCTGGGAGGCTGAACACTGACACCTAGCGTCTGGGGACTACTTTTATAACTTAATATGTAACTGTCTCAGTGTTTATTTTGATAAGCTAGTTACATATTTTGTCACAGATGTTTTAAATAGGTGTAAAATTTCCTCTGTTTAATAATTTAAAACTAAATGACCAGATTTTTTTTACAGTAGTTCATTTTAAATGCTATTCTAATGCCCAGGCGTCAATTCCAGGACTTCTTTTCCACATATATGCATATGATTTGCATTGCGCTCAAAGATGTCGCCTAGCCAGTTTGGGTCTGGTCTGTGTACCTGGGTTAAGGGAATGTATGAATTTGCCTCTTTATTGCGTTTAGTGCAAATCCTCTTCCATTTCATCACAAGGACTGACAGCAGCAAGTGCATCCCCACTGTCGCGTGATTATTACGCCAACATGGCTTGCTACGTCTTAAAAGGTGGGGTCATCCTAATAATCCTGGTCATGAAGCTTCATCCCGTCGGACTTCTAAGTTAATGGAGTGAAGCTGTATGCGTGTTTGCGTCCAAACGCAATGCGTTGCTGCAGATAAGCAGGCACGCAGACCTCACGGGTGTTTGCTATCTGCGTGTGTACCTTGGCATTCCCCTGTCTAGCGGACATAACGTGCCCTTCTTGTGCCGCTCTGCCGTGCAGCAAAGTCATCTGCAAAAAATAAAGAAATTCACAGTTGCACCGCAGCAGAATAACAGGCTTGAGAGCGTGTGCAGAAACAGTGCTTGTTTCTTCTTAAGGCTCCTGGCAAAATGCAATCGTGCGTTCTCCCTGGATGCCATCTTTAAAACTTTGAACCTCTGCTCTGGTATTTTTTTTATTATTATTTTGTTACCGTGAATTACTGTCCAACCAATTAACATATCTTCTTAAAATGCAGTGCTAATGGAATGATATTTTTTATGTCATGTTTTTCCTGTCATGGTGGGAGTGGCTGAAACGGTATCGAGAAACTAGACATAACTGAAGCCGGGAAACCAAGTGTTATAGATTTATCTGCATTTGCAAAGCAGTCGCTTCGAGAAAGCAGCAGTCTTCTTTCAGTCAGAGACGTCACGACGTGATGTGCTTTGCGATGTACAAATATAAATGATTATTCCCAAAGATTATTTTGCCTTTCAGAATGTCATTTCATTACCCTTCTTCCAATTTATTCAGCATTCACATCAAAGGAAGAATGAACAGATGTCGTTTCAAACACTCTTTGCCTCATTGCATAAAAGTAGAAGATGATTATTTTTAATGCATACTCTCTCTCTCTCTCTCTCTATCCTTCTCTCAGTCTCTCTCAGAAAAGGGAAAAAAACTAACTACTGAGTGGAATGGAGAAAAGAAAATGGCAATGGGTTCATAGTCACGATGAACTAGCATTTCATTAAAGCATGCGTATTGCAACCAAAACAAATGTTCAGTTGAATTTCTAGACAAATTGTCCATTTATAGCTGAAACATGAACTAGTTTCTGAATTTAATGAAGCATTGTAGTACTCTCTGGTTTGATTTAGAAAATAGCATTGTGATAAAAATTGTTTCCATATTTGAGCTTTTGCTCTGAAAATGATACTCAAGGATATACATCATAAAACAAATATACTGTGTGTGTGTGTGGGGGGGGGGGGGGTTAAGCTTATATTAGGTTGTGTGGTACAAATGTCCCTCTCAATGTAATGAAAACCCGTTTTATTTATGTTTTGGGGACCATATTTTGGGTCCCCACAAATGTCTATGAATGCAATCAAAAAAGTAAAAATCTGGTATTTTGTTTGGTTACTTGTGGTTAAGGTTAGGACTGGGTAGGGGTTAAGGTCGTCATGTTTGGGATTAGAGTTTTCCCCATAGAAGTGAATGGAGAGTCCCCACAAAGATATAATTACAAACCTGTGTGTGTGTGTGTGTGTGTGAGTGAGAGAGAGATTTTGTACGTGCATTTGTGTTCATGGAGGAATCACTGCTGATCACGGACAATCGAAATGACTAGTGATGGAGTAAATGAAGCTTTGACACCATTGGTGGGAGAGCTGTCAATCACTACTTAATTTAATCCATCAGGAACCAATGGGGACCTTCATTATGGTCCCACCCACCAAAGGCTTTCAATACCACTTTTCTTCTTTCACTAACATTATGTATGTTTGATAAATGACACTGGAGACTCTGGACTTGAATTCATGGCATTTTAGTCTTTGAGTCTGAAGTATCTGTCTAGATTTTAAACACCCTCAGTGTACATTGATAAAAGGTGTGTGCTATTTTCCCATCTTCTTTGTCTGGGATGACAAAGTGAACAGGGATAGTATGGAAGAAATTGGCCATTAAGTCTAGATCTTTCTTTAGGATTGTTGCTAAAAACACCATTGGAATAAATTATTTCTTGTTCATGTTTATTCGATGGACTTTCAAAACTCAAATGTTCCTTAATTTGAGAAATACACAGAACAAAAAATGGGTAATATTGGTGAATTTTTTAAAAAATTGATCCCCTCTTTCCGCCATTTTATTAATTTAGATAAATGGAAATTTATTTGGGTAGAATTGCTGGTGCCCTTTAACATTGATTTAGGCTGGGTTTCAGCAAGCAAGGATGCACTGGTCTGTCGAACCAGATTGACATCCACCTGGACAGTTGGCGGGGTCCTCCGCGTTCTCCGAGGCCTGCCCTACTGGGGGCTGGTTTTCTGCTTGGAGACTTCGCAAAGTGTACTGTAGATAACAAGGATGAAAGGGAGAGAAGCTGCAGGAGTTGGGCTTTTAAGATCCTCCCTGCTTGTTCGATGGAGTAGATGCATATGCATGTGTGCACGGCCTGTTTTTTCATCTTCAGCTTGTCGGGCTTGTTTTGATGAAAATGACTGAGACTGCACAGAGGTAGATTGTTCCATTAACCTTTTCATGATGAAGACAAACCCTGCGGTGTTTCTTCATGTGTCCAAAATGTGCTTATTTTTTAGCTTATTTTTTGTGCTTATTTTGTATTTTCTTGATCGGTTGCATCTGAAACGATTGTTCTAAGTCAGGCAGAATTGTTTAGGACAGGTTTTAAGATGGGTGTTGTTCCCATGTTTGTCCTGTGAGCTGTACCATGCTTATACTTCACAATCGGGAAATTCAGTGTGTATCCTGGGCTGTGTGAACAAGCAGAGTAAAACTGAACGCTAACCATTTAACTGCAATACAACTTGAAATCGGGGAAGACACCATTAGCTTTGAAAATCAACCCAATTTTCGCTAAATGTTTGATTGGATCCTCTCCACAATGCTTTCATGATGCTGTGCTGCTACACATCTCCTTAGCAACAGAAAGATGCAAGTTTCATAAGCTTTTTGTTTCGGGGGGAGGACATGTTTCACTCAACCAAATATAATATATATATATATATATATATATATATATATATATATATATCAAACAGCAAAATAATTGTTACATAGGTTCATAGAACTGTGCTTGTTTTGATTTTTTGCATAAGAGGACACACACAGTGGATATATAAATACTGTGCTTAAATTTTGGACCCACGAAAATGTCATTAATATAGAATTTAATGCTGTATCCATGAGGTGAGACAGTCATGAAACAAACATTTAATATTCATGTGAGCTGTGCTTTGAGATATTGAAAAAAGCAGTTGACCGTTTTCATTGAAATGGAAATGTCACTTTGTGGCATGTGTCAGTCAGTGTGCATGCTGGGTGATTGTATGTATTTACATGTTCTATGACGAGAGATGAGGCTGTGAGTGCACTACTGGAAACGTGAGTATACACAAAGAAGCTCGGGTGTAACACCACATGTTTAAAAAATAGATGCATTGATCCGCGATTGGGTTCCGGGGTGACTGTGAGCCAGAGTCTCGAACAGATGTCTATGATTACAAGTTGCCATTACGATGTTCGAGAAAGTTGGTGAAAAGATGGGCCTGTTTTAAATCAGCATGGTGATTTAGCCTGTCATATCTTCATAGCTTGGGTTTGGATAAGATCTCCTGGAAATGGAGCAGTGAGGGTGTGATGTGTGAGTTTGCGATGATCATCTCCGCGCATTTCAGGGTTTCCTCAGCAGCTCGTCTTCCCAGCCTGTTGCTTCCTTGTGTGGTAGCTGGCTGTCAGCATTCCCTGACTGTCATCTTTGCGGGCTCCACGCTGACTTGAATTTCTCAAGTTTTGTGCAATGTTGACATCTCGCTTGGCTCCCCGCTTGTTTTTTGCTTTGTCGCGGCTGCTCAGACGTAAACCTTCACTCTGCCCCCAAAGTCCTGAAATCTAGGGAAGACTTTCTTTTAAGCGCTTCTAATTTTGAGCATGTCCGCTTTCTTGAATGATCTCAGACCTACAAGCAGCTCCCGGCGTTCGCTGATGTGTCCCCGCTGCACCTTTCAGATCACCGGTGAGAAGCGGCCCTCGTCGGAGGCGATGAAGAAGCCCAAGCCGCAGAAGAAGAAGAAGAAGAAGGACCCAAATGAGCCTCAGAAGCCCGTCTCGGCCTACGCACTCTTCTTCAGGGACACGCAGGCTGCCATTAAGGGCCAAAATCCCAACGCCACCTTCGGAGATGTCTCGAAGATCGTGGCGTCCATGTGGGACGGCCTGGCGGAGGAGCAGAAGCAGGTGAGCCTCATAAAAAGTGTGGAATTATGTGGATCAGTAAAACAAGTAGCAAAATAACACGCTCAGCTGTGAAATTACCATAGTTTACCAAGCCACTATTGAGGGCAAACCCACAGAAAATTCAATATTTATTGTGAAGGCTGCACTGCTAGAGGGTATAGAGCTGAAAGATGTGCGTGTACAATGCCTTCATAGCAATAATAAAATAACAATAATAATAATAATAATAATAATAATAAATCATCATCATCATGCCTTGAAGAGCAGATTTTATGATCTATAGATGAAGCTCACATTTTAGTCTGAAGCATTGTGAGATGTTCTATAGATGAAGCTCACATTAGTATATCACACTGTGAGGTAGTCTATAGATGAAGCTCACATTATTTAGTTTGTATCCTTGTGAGGTGATCTATAGATGAAGTCCACATTTTTTAGTCTGTAGCCCTGTGATGTGGTCTATAGATGAAGCTCACATTTTTTAGTCTGAAGCACGGTGAGGTGGTCTATAGATGAAGCTCATATTATTTACTCTAAAGCATTGTAAGGTGGTCTATAGATGAAGCTCACATTATTTAGTGTGACACAGTGAGAGATTGTGTACAGATGAAGGCCACCTTAATGAAGTAGCACTGATTTGTTGAAATACCCATTGATTGGATTCTTTTCAAAGGAAAAGAAAGTCCCTTGGCTCTCATTAAAATGTGCGATTTATTCTTCTTACTTAATGCCAGAAAGAAAAGTTTCACAACCTAATTGTAGTGCAAACAAGTAGCTGGATTATTCAAGCTGAATAGTTGATGGACAAAATGATGTTGCACTAAGAGATGTTTACCGATGTGTTGGGTTATTTTTCCTTTCTTCTGACTCCAGAATAACTACTAATCTGTTGAGTTATGCCGTTCACAGAGAGCATTCTCAAATCTAATGTATAGCCAAGGTCTGGGTGCTGTGCATTCCACACCCTGCGGTAAATTCTTGCCTCCCTCTGTCGGCCCCCTCACAATGAATCTTCATTGTGCCCCTGACACCCTTGAATGTGAATACCTCATTTCCTGTCTTTTTATTTATATCGGTTGCCTGGTGATTTGATCATGCTGAGAATACAAGATTAGCAATTGCCTCGTCCTTGAATTTGCCTCAAGGACACCTGTTCAGGAAACACTGCTATTGTTTGTGTCTTAACCCTTTCCTTGCTGGGATTGCAATCGCGGTTTTGTCCACGTTGCTTGCTTTACTGCAGATTTAGCAATATGCATCGCACCTTTTATATATCAACCAGCATGGTACACTTCTGTTTTGTTTACATACACATTCCATTCTTACAGGGTCTGCCAAATTGATCAGTAATACTGTGTTTGGTGTTAATAATGATGAATTGTCCTTATTATTAGGATTATAAATATTTTAATGTTTGCAATAGTCTTGAGATTGTAAGCATTGTAGATCTTTTCCTTCCTATATAGATTTTAGCAAAGCATCATACACTGGTCTATTTTTGTATGTATACCTGAAGCTGTTCACGCCACGATGTTGGTTATCTCCTTGGCATTTAACGTCGACCACCTACACCAAGTCGCACAGAACAAAATATTGTTGTTATTAATTATGAAATGATACTGTATTTTGATTCAGTGGGAAAGAATAGTATTTGAATAATAGCATTGCTGACGATTTGAGGTGCTAGTTGCTTTATTCTGGTAACCCAAATACTGCTACAAAGTTTCAGCGACAGGCATAAGCAAAGATTTGAATAAAAATAAACATGCAGTCTTTTCAGGTCGTCGTATAAAGCAGGAAACATGCTATGTGTCAGGGTGACACTAATAAGATACCATTTGTCTTCTGCTGAAGTTTCACTCGCGCCCAATTTCCTACATAATTAACTGTCAAATACTACAATTATCCTACAATTAAAACCTGTCCAAGTAGACCACTGTGGTTCCTTGGGCACCTTCTGTTTTTTTTCTGCTTCTCATAGGTTATACATTAAATAACTCTTTTCAATGCAGGAACCAAAGGTGTGTTGGCGTAAAGTAGATAACCCTGGGTAACACTGTAACACTGGAAGAATATCTGCAGTTAAGGGTTCAAATTCCAGCCAACACTCTGTGTCTGTAACACTTGCATGTGTAGGTCAGCCCACTCTCTCTTGCTCCCTTGGATTATTATTATTATTATTATTATTATTATTATTATTATCTGTTTTTATAAAGATTAATGCAAATGTCAGGATTAATTTAACTATAGAAAACCAAGCTTTTCTTCAGCATTTTGCTTCAGGAGGGATTTTTTTTCTTGATACAAAACAAACGCATCACCTGCATTTCCCTGTATATTGAGAATTTACTTTCTGTCTTTTTGGTGCCTTCTAGATGTCCCCCGTGTCGGGTTTTACTCTTATTAAATTACCATTTATCTGTTTAAAAAACCTTGAGACCTAGAATAACCCGTTATTAGCGTTTTCCATCGGGCGATGACGCAGGTCGCCCGGGGTCCTGAGGAGATCGCGTCATTTTTTTCACTCAAAGAGAGGTTCTAGCTCATTTCTCCAAATGAAAGGGAATGGAATTGGTTTGCTAGTGCAGTGGAGGATGGAGTATGGAAATGAGTGAATGTCAGCAGCACAATGATGAGCGAACGGGGGGTTGTGTTGGGCCAGAGTTATTAACCCCTGGCTGCCCGGCGGCTGTCTCCAACCTCCAGTAACATCCTTTAGAAAATTTATTAACATTTTAATATATAGCTCTTGTCTTGGGGAATGGAATATCACAGAGGATTTCCTAATAGTTTGAGAACCATGTCGTTTAATTAGATACTTAGCATATTACTTAAGTACTATTCAGAACCAAATAATTCCCTCTAGCATACAACATCCATTCACTTGGACTATCAAGTTTCTAATCACACATACACCTATGCTAACAGACATCTTGTCATGGCTCGGACTTCAGGGCTTGCCGATTTATTATTGTAAACAGCAAAACAAGACACAAGTATAAAGCATGGTTCCAAGTCTTCTGCCATAAGAAACAGGAAACTTCCACGATCTGGGGCTGCTCACTGGATGCGAGGTGAGAATGAAGGACTGATGCACAAGGGAAAGTTTCTCTGCTTCAAAGTATCTGCTGGAAGAAGTAACATCTTTACATATAAAGCTCATGACAACGTAATTTGAAGTCTTCTCGACCATTCTGCAGTCACCCTGCCTTTACTTCTACATTCAATGTCAGCTTACCAAAGCCAGCTACTCCAAGGTTACACAACAATTTTATGAAAATTTAGCTTTTACCCTTACAATCGACATCTGATTACCAAATCAATCTCCAAACATCGGTACAAGATTGAGCCTTAGTCAATGCTCTCTCCTCAGCAGAAGCCTACATCAAATAAATCTTAATTGGATTCTGGGCCTCACAGGTGCAGCATCCTTTCTGCGTGCAGACGACCGACCTCACCCAGGTTGTTTACCTTATTTTGTTCCTCTATGCATGTCACCCTGTGGAGGTTATTGAAGCCACAGATGTTAAAGCTAAACATCGAAGTCAAACATCTATCCATCTATAAATGTCCCGCCCACATATTCAGCACAGGGATTCATGGTTAAGCTAAAGACTTAAAATATTACAATTACCTCAGTATTATCTTACACTCAGTGACATCTACCCAGGATGAGATATCCGTATTTGAAACGAAAGCATATCAAGGGATTTTTATGGCATTATGTTTCTTTGACTTTGTTTGTTTGTTTGGTCAGATTTGCTGAGACTTAAGCGGCACTTTTTGCGTGTTGACCGCGCTGTATTCCTGACTGTCATGTTTTTCAGTTAACACTCGCACACTGGTAGAGAGAAGTGCCACAGTTTAAACCGTATTTGCATCAATGTCATTTTCGTGCTGATGAGTCAGACGCATGCCCCCTCATGCCTTCTATTTTTTGGACTTATTGAATTCCCTGGGGACCTTTTTTCAAGTTACACCCGGGCGTTACAGAGTCTCCCTGCTGTCAGCAGGGTAGTTTTATACTATCGGAGCACCTGCTCTGCGGTGCTGTGGGGGGGAGTCTACATTTAATTTATTCCAAGCCCAGACTGTGCGATAGATTGCTAGCACTTGGCTGCTGGAAACGATGTGCTGTAAACCGTATTTAAACAGCTGCGTCCCCCCCTCCTCCACAATCGCTTAAAGGGAAAGGTCACCTGAACAGAAAACACTTTTTTT